TTTTTTTTTTTTTTTTTTTTTTTTTTTTTATCCACGTACATTTGGTAAGATAAGGTAAGATAAATTGGGCGCGCAGTTCCGCAATTGCCCGTCTTTTTTCCTTTTCATCTTTTGCCGTTTCCGTCCCGAGTGTTTCTGATTGGTCATTTTTCTTTGTTTTTTTTTTTGGATCATCTTTTCGTAGACTAAGTGTGAAAGAGTGGAGGGAAAAAAAAGGAAAAAAAAAGAAGAAAAAAAAAGAAAGAGTGGAGACGGATAAATTAAATGGTGTCCAAAAATCATTTAAAAAAAAAAAAAAAAATCAAACAACGGACGAGCAACGGGTGGGATAAAGCTTCGGTGTAGTCGGAGCTGCTGCGTCTTCACCAGAATAGAACGCCCGGTCGTTATAGCTGCGTATTTGGGGCAAGTTTCAGTCCAGATACAGCGGTAATGACCGGCGTTATATTCGGGCGGAAGACGGTAAATCTAGCTGTGTATTTAGACCCTACCTACCCTTCTTCTTCCCCCGAATAAAACGTTCGGTCGTTATTTCTGTATGTAGACTGCAAGATACCCCAAGTACAGCTATATTGACCGAATAATGGTGATTCAATTTGCTGTATTCAGACCCACCGATACCCCTTGGTAGTACACCTACCTTCTTCCCCCGAATACAACGTACGGTCATTATAGCTGTATTTGAGGCATCTTTCAGTCTAGATACAGCTATCATGACCGTACGTTGTATTCGGGGGAAGAAGGTAGTATATCGACCGTACGTTGTATGCGGGGGAAGAAGGGAGGCGTTTTTTTTTTTTTTTTTTTTTTTTTTAACAACAATTTGAAGGGAGGCGTTCAATCGTAAGGGTACTAGACGAAGATCCATTGATTGATTGGCCTTCGTGACATTAGGTAGGACTTTTTTTGGACTAAAATCTGGCCGCAATTGCGGTCAGATACACCTGTGAGGGACCGTAATTGCGGCCAGATACATCCCAGGAAAGTGGTATTACGGTGGGAAGGGAGGCGTTCAATCGTAAGGGTAGACGAAGATGCGGAGATTGGTTGGCCCTCGTCCCGGGGTTAGGTAGGACTTTTTTTTTCCGACTCAAATCTGGTCGTAATTGCGGTCAGGTACACCTGTGAGTGACCGTAATTGCGGCCAGATACATCCCAGGAAAGTGGTACAACAGTGTGAATACGTTCTTCTTTTTTTTTTTTTTTTTTTTAAATGTGAATACGTTCTCAAAATGGTGGGATCAAGTGGGTGCTGCAGCCGAGAGGCTGGGTCCCTCTGGGCCCGAGGTTAGCCCCCTGAGGACGACGGGAGGGTTTTTTTTTGTTTTTTTTTTTTTTTTTTTTTTTTTCCCGAGAGACGACGGGAGTTTCTTTTTTTTTTCTTTCGATCGAGAGAGAGAGACAACGGGAGTTTTTCCTTTTTTTTTTCTTTTTTTCTTTTGAGAGACGACCGGAGGTTAGCCCCCTGAGTATGACGGATGACGGAGGATGACCTGCGCGCGAGCAACCTGGTCGGTTGAAACGCGTCGGGGTCTGGGTGCGCGTCGTGAGGGGCAGACTCACTCACACTTCGCTAGCACTTTTTCTACCACGCTCTGGACGTGAGTGCGGTCAGATTCATCCAGGTATGGCCGTAATCGCGCTCACATACATCTAGTAGGAATGAATGTGCTCGTGTGAGAGAGTATGCCCTGAATCCCAGACACCACGTGGCTGAACACTGTTTTTCTTAAATGATGACGACCTCCTCTTCGAAATCACGTGCTGCTGTCCTAAAAAAAAAAAAAAAAAAAAAAAAAAAAGAAATCACGTGCTGCCTGCTCTCTCTCTCTCTCTCTCTCTCTCTCTCTCTCTCTTCTTCTTCAAATATTCGACAATCAGAAGAGCAGCTCTGTCTCACCTGGCGATGGCGGGGGAATTGGAAGTGCAAGATACCCAATCTGTCATAAACGCAGCAGTAGCAGTCAACCGATAGCAGACCGCCCTTCCCTTCACTTTCTGTAGCCTCCGTTCTGCTCCYTGGGCCTGCCTCCTCCTCTGCCCTCTCCTCGCTCTCCCCTTGGGCCTCGCCCCACTACTTAGTACTCACCAAATAATTTCCAACATCATTGTCATAAACGCAGCAGTAGCAGTCAACCGATAGCAGACCGCCCTTCCCTTCACTTTCTGTAGCCTCCGTTCTGCTCCCTGGGCCTGCCTCCTCCTCTGCCCTCTCCTCGCTCTCCCCTTGGGCCTCGCCCCACTACTTAGTACTCACCAAATAATTTCCAACATCATGATGAGAATAAATCGTCCTTGTTTTGGACAGCGATGATGAGAAGGTATCCCCACAGCCTATTCTTCTATCGACAGCGGCACAACGGGGGCATTGTGAGTGCCGTCGTCAGTGGTAGGAGCGTTAGTCGATTGTGGTTAATATAAGAGTAATTAGTACGTGAGAGCAGTGGGAGGACCAACGGCCAGTCTAGGCAACAAAGGCTCCTCACAGAGTGACTGGACAGTGATGATGGGAGGGTAATCCTACAGCTTCTGTTTCTTGCCCAGTCTGTGAGGAGCCTTTGTTGCCTAGACTGGCCAAAGAATAAACCCAAGATGAGGAACTGAGCGAGAAAGAGAAGCTGTAGGCAACAAGGGAACCATGCTGGAAACCGGGTCCAGCGTCCCAAAGCGGATGTTCGTTCTTGGTTTGTTCTTAGTTTCCTGATGTGTTAAACACTGGGGTATGTGTGCAGGATTTTCAAGTTTTATCTTTTTATCGTTTTTGAGAAGTTATTTTTCATCTCTCTTGAGAGAAGAGTGGTTGGGACGCTGGACCCGGTTTCCAGCATGGTTCCCTTGTGACTTCCGGGTTGAATTGTGAGGTCCCCGGCCTCGACCACAATTATTTCTTTGAATATAAGCGACAACTTCTCAAAAAAAAAAAAAAAAAAAGAATAAATCGTCCGATCCAGTGGCCTGGCTCAGTTGGCTAGGCACGCAAGTGGCATTCAGGAGGTTGTGGGTTCAAGCCCCACGACAGCCTGCGGCGCACTTAGTGCCAACGAACTGGGATAGTCCTCTGGATACTCCTGATCCGTATTAGTGGAATCTATGACCAACATGGGTGTGAGTGCGAGCGCGAGTGGGTTGTGTGTGGTGTGTGGGAGAGTGTTGGCCATAGCCACTGCTGCTACTCGATGAGGGGTGGGGGACGATGAAAAAGGGAGGCGCAGCTACTGGCAGGTCTCGGTCTTTGTGTTAGCCAGATGCCCACTGGCGGCCCCAACCCTATACCCTAACCATTAGGGGCAAGGGGCAACATGAAATCTCCCCTTCACAGTGAGAAGAAACTATGCTTGCAGGGGTCCCCTCTAGATAGCCTTAGGAGTAGGTAGTGAAAGGCAAAAACCGAAGTTGAGGGGGCCACGCGAAATGTGCGTTAACGACAGCGGCCGTGGCGGCGCCCGGTCGTCGTTAGCGGCTGTGTAGGATGCAACGTCGGGGTATGTGGACGCTGATTTTTTTTTCCACGAGGCGCCTACCCTGCCAGGCACCATAGCTGTGTGAGAGCTATGGCGACAGTGCCCTGGCGTAGCCTAGCCGTTGAGTGGGTAGGGAGTGTGATGCACTCTTACGCCATGGCACCCTGGCAGCTCCGTACCTGATCTCCATACCAACCCACATAACTTACAGGACTTTGATACCAGAGAGCCGCCCGCCCTCCCCTCAAGCCTTCTGCTGGAAAGGCGGGGCTCCTTTCTTACCATCCAAAGGCCGCACGCTGTAGTTCACGACACATCATTCGGATTGCCGCGATCACCAGGGAAGCATGCGGTTGCGGTGGCAGCGCTCCGGCATGTCCAAGGGCTTCAGCAAGTCTCGTTTGACCAATCTTTGTCGCAAGGCAGTGTGCTGTTCATTTACTTCACGATTTTGGTCTTCACGTAGTTTGGTTGTTGCTTTGGCCCTCTACGCTCTGTTTATTCACGAGTAATTTGATGGTTTTTGCCTGCTGGTAATGAATCCTTATGATTGATCGAGATATATTACAATCCCGATGCCCTTATGCGCCGGGGAATGTCTGTAGTGGTTTAGGGTGAAACCCATGGGTTTGGGAGGATATGAGAGACCCGGTGAAGAGCAAACTAGAGTTGTATCCATTGGGTGCGTGGTGGGAAACCCATGTAGGCAACAAAGGCTCTTTACAGTGTTCGGCTACCGTCTTCCCCCGAACACAATGCACCCTCATCTTGGCTGTACCGGACTGGAAATATAGCTTGCATACGTTCAATTTCAGGGTGCGTTGTGTTTTCGGGGGAAGACGGTAGCGATGATGAGAGGGTACCCCTAAGGTCTATTCTTCCTTTCCAGTTTTTACGCTATGTTTATTCACGAGTAATTTGATGGTTTTTGTTTGCTTGTAATGAATCCTTATGCTGTTTAGGGTGAAACCCATGGGTTTGGGATGATATGAGAGACCCGGGGAAGAGCAAACTCACTAGAGTTGTATCCATTGGGTGCGTGGTGGGAAACCCGTCTAGGCAACAAAGGCTCTCCACAGTGTTCTGGCTAGCAATGATGAGAGGGCAACCCTAAGGTCTATTTTTCCTTTCCAGTTTTTAGCCACTTAGTTTGTGTCTTTCAGTTTGATATGTGGTAGATTTTTCGAATTTTGGTGGGTTATCTCACCCCTGTCCCTGTCCTTGAGAGCTGCCTACGTAGTAGACTCTTGGAACTGTTTATGTTGTTGGCGATGTTGGGATGTGTCCTGCTTACATCTGTATTACTCACTTACCTCCGGTAGAATCTGGGGATTTAATAGGATGAAGGGATGAGACTGTAGCCGCGGGGTTTGTAAAGCCCTAAAGCCCTGAAGCCCTGTGGGTCACGGCGCCATTAGCGGGAGTGCGAGACTCACTAGTGGCGGTGGGAACGTTCTCCCGGCGCGTGCGAAAGGTGAAATAACTGCCAAACATAACCGCGGTGAGAGTTATAGTGTTGTTTATTCCACTCATATATTCTGTGGGTGCGATTATTCTTCTCTCTCTCCCTTTGAGTGCTTTAAGACTATCTAGGTGTGGCTGTTTCTTGGCTGTTTTCCCTCGTTCCTCAAGACTCTTTAGGTGTGGCCGTGCCTTGGCTGTTTTCTCTCCGAGTCGTTTATTCTTTGGAGAGACTATTATTAATACGCCTAGTTCTAAATTTTCGTTTAGATAAAGTTTAGTATGTACTTGGATTGAATCTTAGAATTGAATTGCATCTATTAAGAAGTTAGTCTCCCTTTGGAAATAATTGTAGGGCTAAATTGAAAATTTCTGCGAATTTCCTTGTGCACTTTAAATTTGAGATTTGCACTTCGTAGTTTCTTGCGCTGGCCGGAGCTGGGGTGAGTTGTGTTGCCCTGTAACCCAGCAGGATGGGGGGTGTGAGGCATGGAAGCTCGGCAGGGAATACGACAGTGTTGGAGATCCTTGGAAGGTTTTGTTAGGGATTTTGCGGGATTGGGGGCCTTTTCAGGACTTTTGCAGTCTATTCCCATACCTTTCTGAGTAACGGGAAGGAAAGGGATCGAGAGAGAAAGGTATCACGCGTCCTGCTAGTGAAGGGGCTAGCTGGTAGGACAGAAATAGGGCATAGCAGCAGTAGAGATGGTGGCTTTGCTGCAGTAAGTCTTGCCGGAGTGGGGTGAGGAGGACTGTTGGTGGATTCCCGAGTCTTCTTCTGGTTTTTTATTATCTCTGAAGT